GGTTATTTTTCTTTTCTTTTTAAAATGAAAAACAAAATTTATATGTATATACAAGGATAGCTGGGATAGGTATATTGCTGATGTCTGTGGTTTATTAAAAGGAACAGTCAATGCTTAAAATTTTCTTTTTTCTTGACCAATTTTGTACGCTTGAATCTGGTAATCAGAATGACTGATCTGAAAACAACAATATGCAGTATAAGAACCACTGTTGAACTCCTACCATCTTGTATAGTGCAGCTCTGCATCATTTCTAGTGTTTTTTCTTTTCTTACTTGTTGCTGTCTTTGATTGTTTGATCAGTCTTACATTCTTACATCTGGTGGACTGAGCAACTTCACTGAAGATATGTATGTAATGTAGCAACCATTGTAAATTCCTATCATTTAGTTTTGAGGTCATATATCATTTTTGTTGTTTTTGTGTTGTTTTGATTTTGTCTTCATTGTTGTTTTTTTATCTTTAAAATAAAAAGGTATGAATGAAAAAAAATTAAAAAAAAAAACTTATGTCCTTTCATATGTGTCCAGTTATAGGAAACCAACTTATGAGAATACTGAACTACATGCCCAGAGCCAGATAGGACAGAAGAGTCCTTCAGAAATCAGCGTTCATATTGGAATAGATGACACCTCAAGAAATTCTCCTAAGCTGGGTTTGCTGGACCGGATTGTGAATTATAGCAGAGCCTCCATAAACTCACTACTGTCTGATAAACGTTCCCTAAATAGTGTTGTTACTAGTGAACCTGACAAACACTCACTCCTGGTGGGAGACTTCAGGGAGGATGATGACACCACATTGTAAAAGGCCACGGAGAATGCTGCTAGTTGAAATTGTTATGCACTGACATGCATTCATGCCTTCACCTTAGCTTTTCAAAATGTTGTGGAAGGATTTTGTGTTGATCTCATTCTCTTACATGAGTGGTTCTATTTGAGTTGCCTTTTCCTAATGGCAAAAAATACCTTTTTCAGGGCATGAGCTCTGAACCTAGTTTTATTGAAAACGAATTTTTAACATTTTTTGTTTCTGTGACAGATAAGATAGGGTAGCCAGGTTTACATTAAGCTCTACAATTAGAGATTGCTGATTTGCTGCTAAGGTGATAGATTTTTTATTTTGACCAAAAAAAAAAATAAACAAGGAGAGGATAATTAAAATTTTGAAGATTTGAGAGCATGACTTTGAGGACATTCTTCAGCCTGTAACCCTTCCACTGGGAAGCAGTGACTTTTAAAGCACTCTATAAAGTCCTTGGTTTAGAAGGTAAACAATTGCAGCTGTTCAAAAACAGATGTGCCGGGGCTGGGGATTTAGCTCAGCGGCAAAAGCGCCTGCCTGGCAAGCACAAGGTCGTGAGTTCGGTTCCCGGGACCGGAGAAAAACCAAAAAAAAAAAACAAAACAAAACAAAACAAAAAACAGATGTGCCTTATTTATTTATTGTAGTTTTTCTTTTCCCTTCTTCTTGCATCCTTATCCTTACAGTTGCTTTCTTTTTTGTTCCAAGATATCTTTTGTTATCTTCTTTTAAGTGAACCCAGTTTAGGTGGTTTTTCATTGATAAAAATAAGTGACAACTTTTCCAATACCTTCTATAGGTTTTCCTGCTTCTTTCCATTGTTGTAAAAATATATTAAATTTGTCCTTCAACCAGCCTAGCTCTGTGCTTTCAATTCACTCTTGCTGTAAGTTGTTCTTAGTGTAATCTGTCTATCAGTCTCAGTCCGGAAATTTAACATTTTGAACCTCTTCCACTCAAATGATTTTGAGATTAATACTATTGTATTAACCATATTTAGGTCATATAAAATTACCTGGATTCACTAAATTCATTTTTTTGGGTAAGGTGTAATCACCTAGCTGGTATATATAATTTAAGAGATTTAAATTATCTTTTAGTGTTTCAGATAACCTGTCAAAATGACTTTAAAATAATACTAAACCAGACATGGTGGTACACACCTGTAATCCCAGCCCTTGGGAAGCTGAGGCTGAAGGACTGCCAGGAGTTTGAAGCCTACCTAGTGAATTCAAAGCTTGTTTGAACTGCATAGTGAGACCCTGTCTCACAAAACCAAATATAGAAAGAAAAAGAAAAAGAACAAGCTATTAAACAAAGCTACTTTTACCAAAAACTACAGTAAACTGTAATACAAAAATTAGAATTGTCCTAGGTTATGAAACCTTTTACTCAAATATATACTTTTATTTAAAACACTTGCACTTGCCTATTTAATATAGTTGGCAAATTTAGGGACATATTCCCATTGTCATATGGGTTTAGAAATTTCCCTGTGAGTGCCTGGGAAATAATAAACTGGTCAGAGATCTGGTACTTGTATGACTATTTAAATTTGCTTATTAATTGCAAGGTGAATTTCATATACAGAATATGAAATGAAGATTCCTAAAATTTTATTACAATTGCCATACATTAAACTGCTAGCACAAATATCTAACACTACGAAATGTGCTCAGTAAATGTTAGGTCTTTTATTATTTTGGGAGTCAGTACTAAATATAAAAAATCATTTTTAGAAAGTAGAGTCTAAAATCAGGTAAGGATAGGGGAGAAGTTCTTCCTCCTCTACCCGTTTTCTCTTTTATCTTTTCGTGTGTGTGTGTGTGTGTGTGTGTGTGTGTGTACATGTGCTGAGTTTAATTTTTTTTTCTTTTGGTCTTTTTGAGACAGGATTTTGCTGTGCAGTTCAGGCTAGCCTTGAACTCACTTTGTAGCCCAGGCTGGCCTTGAACTTGTGCCATCCTCCTGCCTCAGCCTCCCAAGTGCTGGGATTACAGGGGTGCACTACCACACCAAGCAAGAGTTTAAAATTTTCTATGCTGTCTTCAGATTTAGAAAAGAACCAACTACTGTCTCAGCTCTCTTAAAAGAGAAAACTGAAACTTTTCTGAGGTTACTAGTTTTTAATATAATTTTTAAAATTTTATTAGCACATATTAGTTATTACATAATTATAGGTTTGTTTTGGCATATTTGTACATGCATATAGCATGCTTTGACCATATCCACCCTCTGCATTACTCCTTTTACATTCTTTCCATCTCTGCCTGATCCCCTTCTTTTTTTCTAATAGTTTCTATTTTTATATCCTTTTTCCTTAATTTTTTTAGACTCCACATATGAGACAAAACATGCAGTGTTCACTCTGGCTTACTTTGCTTTACTTTTGATGAAGGTGCTATTGATCTAGAAAGGCAAATAAATCCATTTAAATGGTATATGAATGAGAGTGTATCTTTAGGCTTTTTAAAGGCTAATGTGTTATATTCCATCTTCCATGTTTACAGTTGGAATTTTAATAATCATTTCTTATTTAGATTCCAGTGGCCCACTTTAACATGACTCATTTCTTCTGGAAGAAACAGCTGATATGACAAAATATAATAGATTTTTCACATTCTGGAGCCAAATGGAAAGAAAAGAAGCATCCCCACCCCATTCTCATTGTTTAGCTTGTACTTTCTCTCTCTTTCTTTTTCTCTTGTGCCTCCTGTCCTCCCTCCCTCCCTCCCTCTCTCTCTCTCTCTCTCTCTCTCTCTCTCTCTCTCTCTCTCTCTCTCTCAGCTGAACACAACCAGTTACTACTCTTACTATACTCCTGTTATATGTGGGTGTTGGAGCCACCCCTTCTTCCCACATGCATGTTGTAGCATAATGGGAAGAGTAACTTACGGTCTGGGAGTAATCAAGAATAAAATTTCATGTCTTACTACAAGAACAGAAAACATGCTATTTAGAAAGAGTCCTCCTTTAATATCTGCAGGCACATTTGAATTCTCTACCACAAGATTTGCAATCTTGAATTCTCATGAGCTTCAGAGAGATGCTTCATTCACTGGGGAGAGAGATGATTTATGGGAAGGATCAAAAACATTGCTTTTAGTTAGTAATTAGGTCTAAGTAGTAGAGAATAAATTTTGTAAGTGTGTATATCTGTGTTTATTCACATATACAGAGTCCACCAAAATGTATACACACTTTAGGGAAAGAAAAAGTTGTGTATACACAGTGTAGGAAAAGAAAAAGTTACGTTTTAATACTAAATGTATTGAGACATTATGAGAATAATACAAGTCACCTTTGGCCTTTACAATTACAAGAGGTGATCAAAGTGATGGCAGTTAGCTTCCAGACCTTTATTAGTATGGCTGACTGCTGCTTGGGTAGCCTTGATCATTGAGATTGCTGCACATGCCTTTTCAATTTCTTCTGTAAGGGCCGGCAATGTAATGGGTTTTCTGTGATATACCACATCCTCTAGGGTGCCCCATACAAGGTAACACTGTCTGTTGTTAAAGCGTCATACTATTTTTCTTTTCCTGAAGTGTGTGCATACAGTTTTTTACAGAGTATATATACACAAATAGTACACATGTGTACAAATGCCCATATTGCCATACTAATGGAAAGTAGATTTATATTTGAATATCTTGAAGATCTTTATGTATATTTTCTGTACAACGTTTCTGTTTTCATTCAGCAACTATCCCCCAGTCTGAAAATAACAAGAACTCTTTGATATCCAGTATTGGTGCAGACTCAGCTATGGGGCACTGTTCTTTACAAATCCAAAGATGCCTTTTGAATTTCAAAGATTTAGTGTTGTAATCTAAAGAAGGGTGGTTGTCAGTCGTGAAAGTAGAAATGTTATTTTTCTTAGTTTAGTATGAACATTTGAGTGTTAAATTTGATGCCTTGTGAACAAATAATTTCATATTCCTCTTTAATTTTAAAAAAGTATTCTTTATTCAGATATACATAGTATTTAAAATAGCACTGTAGACAGGAGGTTTCCAAAAATTTAAGCATGCATATCTTTTCTATATACAACTTAAAGTAAAAAACGTATATTTGAGAATTTTTTTCTATTACATGTGGATCCTGCTTTAAAATGATTTTCCATTATATTTATTTTACTCTGTTTTGTTATTTTCTTTAAATGAGGCATCTGGTTACTGGTTACTTAAAAAAGAATGAAGGTATTGCCTGTATTACTCCCTTTGAATTTTTTTGTTTTACTCTCTATATTTTAAAAATGTATTACTTTACCAAATATAAGACATTGGTTCATGCAAAATAATTATTTTTACACTTTCTGTAATCCCTCAATCTGATATGACTAACCAGATAAAGCACAAAACATTGTTTTGCTTCAATCAAAACAATTTCTTTAATGGCATTGATAATGCCTTTTATAGCCAAAACCAAATGCCTCAAAGTTGCTTTTTAGATAAAGAAATGTTTAGCCAACCATTGTTAGATATGATTGCTTGGTACCCAAAACAGCAGTAAAAAGTGTTGTGCAATATTCATCTACTGTAGTCAAGATAGCCAGTAGTTCATTTTTCCATAAGCATGTAATTGATCATATTTCTGCCAATGATGTGCCTTGAACTTTATAATTATAGTGTTGTAAAAGATTTTTTGTCAGTGTATCTTTTGTTAAATAATCCAACCCCCTCTGCAAAAGTTCCAAACTACCTTTGCTGTCTTTTTTTTTCAACTGTTAGTCTATAATGTAGCAGGATTGGAAGCAGCACCACACAGAGAAAAGAATTTTTCTTGCTTTGGGGAAGCTCTACCCAGTGTGTTTGAAGATCCTACCCAAGATACATTCTCATACTAAACACTTCTTTGAGTTAAAGAAAGAGGTTTAAACTTAGTTGTGAGGGTAAACTAATTTCCATTTCTCCCTAGGGTTTACTCAGAGAGATGAGATAGTACTGGAAATGAAAACAGGGGAATAAAATTCCTGAGGCATCCACACAGCTGGCTAGCCTCCCTTTTTCTTGGTATCCTGAGTAGTCTCAGGAAAGAGTGTTAGTGAGAATTCCACACTTCTTTGCTTTTGTTTTGTTTTTCTTCTGGTACCAGGAATCAAACTCACGACCTTGTGCTTGCCAGGCAGGCACTTTGCCACTGAGCTAAATCCCCAGCCCCAAGAATTCCACACTTCTATCTCAACAAAACACCCCCAGACAAAGGACTAACATCTTGCCAACCTGAACTGCATAGTAAGAGCCTGTCTCAAAAAGACCAAAAAAAAAAGGACTAACATCTAGAATATATAAGAGGTTGAAAAATTAGCCCCAACTCCAAATTAAAAGCCCAATAAAAAAAAATGGTCATTTGAAATACACAGACTCTTCTCAGGTGGAGAAATACAACAGGCCAATAAATACATGAAAT